CCCGGGAAGTAGCGCGCGGAGACTCCCAGGAGCCAAAGCCCGGCAGCCAGTTCACGCTGGGACCCGAGCAGCCGCCCACGCCCCTGAGGCCCACCGCCCCCAAGCCCCCTAGCCCGCAGAGCCCAGGCGCGGGAAGCGCCAAGTGTCCCAGCAACCTCAGCGCGCTGTCCCTGAGTTCAGCGGACAGCGACGAAAGGGCAGACGGCCTTGTGTCCTTCCCGGAGTCGGTACAGGCCACATGTGACAAAGGCACTGAGGACAGCGGTTCCAGCAGCCACCCTCAGCTGAGCCTCGGCGGGGCTTCGGGTCCGGAAGAAAAGGAGGAGGTAAGGGCAGGGCAGGGCCTCTCGTAGACTACCTGCCGCGGGAGGGGCGCTTGTGACAGCGCCGCCCTGCAGCCCTGTTGGAGGTTGCCCTCGTACAGTGTTTTCCTTGTTTACTCTTTTTCTTTAACTTGCCGCCGGAGCGGGTGGGCTCCGAGCTCACTGTCCTACCACCATCACAGTTCTTCTTGTCTACTTGCTGTTCACCACATTCAGAGGTCCCCTTTATCTCTTTTGAAATGGAACACTAATGTAGGAAATTCCTTGAGATGGCACTTGCCACATCATTTATTCAAAATATATTTATTGAGCACCAGCTATGTGCTAGATTGTGGGGGTGCGGGTGGGGGCGTTGAAAAAGACCTGTGTTCCATTCCAGGCAGCTAATAGAGGCTGTCAAGTTTTTGATTTTTGAAACATTTGTTATTGTCCACAGATTTCTAAATGGTTTTAGTATCCTTTTCAACCCAGTGCATATAAATGAGAGTCTTTGTNGAGGGGTTGAAAAAGACCTGTGTTCCATTCCAGGCAGCTAATAGAGGCTGTCAAGTTTTTGATTTTTGAAACATTTGTTATTGTCCACAGATTTCTAAATGGTTTTAGTATCCTTTTCAACCCAGTGCATATAAATGAGAGTCTTTGTGTTAAGAGACCATTACACGTTCTAAGTCCGTTTTATTTCCTAGGAGTGAATTAGAAGCGTGCAGTTTGATACCTGTCAAGCCCTGAGCAACGGCAGTTCAGAGAAACTTTTATAATGGTTATTGTGCTTATTTGTAGAGTAGAACATAAGCATCTCATGAATTGAATCAACTAATAACTGTCAAGGCCACAAAAGCAATGTTCTTTTCATATCCTGTCAAGCCAGACAACTTTACCTTACTGTATAATTTTCTCTTTATAAATGCATTCAGTAATATTACCTTGCAGAGCTGAAAGATGAGGAAATGCATCCATGTGGGTATGTTGCCAATTATTCTTCACATATAATTCAGACTATTTAACAGGTGTGAATTGGTGCTTGCCATAGAAAATAATTTCCTAGCAACTTCTGCTTCTCCCGATCCCTGAAGAGGACCTCAGTTTTGGCTTAATGCTGCTGATAAATCATTATGCCGCTGATAAACCATTATGCCACATCTTTTGCAAACCAGGACAGCTTCTGAACTGTCCATTATTGACCTTTGCTTTACAGAGAGACTTAGAAAGCAAAGTCTATCGCAGGCTACTTTCAGGAGATCTAAATCAGCCTGAAGGATCCCTGGGCAGCCAGAGTAGTGAGTTGGCCTCACTTTTTGTGGATCTAGGTTTGCATGAGACCTCAGGGCCACTATGTCTTCCAGAGGTCTTCTTTATGAGCACCATTTGCTCATTTGCAGATTTCCAAAGAAGCCTTGTGTAACAGTTGTGAGGACACAGGACTTGCTGCCAGCCTTGGGAAGGCATTCCAGTTCTGCTAGCTCTGCTTTGTATGATCGGCCAAGGCTTCACTCCTTCCTGGTTGATGAGATGAAGCACAATTCCTTCCACCAAACACCCTGAACACTTATGGTTTGGGACTCTCCCCCACCCCTCCTCCCACCTCCACCCCTCCTCCCACCTCCACATAAAAGGATTTGCATAGATCTGGAGGATTTTTATGTTAAGGTGGGGATTTTATTTTTTTGTTTAACAAAATTAGCAAATAATAATCATTAAAATATTTTGTTCCTGAGTGCATATTAAGTGAACATATGCAAGGCTTAGTTTCATTTTTTAAAAATTGATTTGCAAGAGAAAGAGAAACATCAGTTTGTTATTCCACTTATTTATGCATTCATTGGTTGATTCTTGTGTGTGCCTGTCCTGACGGGGGATCGAACCCGCAAACTTGGCGCATGGGGATGACACTCTAACCAACTGAGCCACCCAGCCACGGCTATGCAAGGATTAGTTTCTAACTTACTTACTTCCCTGAGTGATTTGACCATTATGTAGTTTTACATGTGTATTTGTTATTCTTACTTATATATGATTTAATTTCTACCTACAAGGGATCACCAAAGATAGCAGACAGACATAAGTTATTAAAACTGCATACATGTTGATGGATAATTCTACAAATATATCTTAAGACAGTCACCACATTTTTAAGCTGCATTCATTTCCTCAGAATTACATAGCACATCAAGCTTCCTCTTGTACTTTTAATGTAAATATCAAAAAGAAAAATATAATTTTGTCCAATTTTTATTTTATGTATTGGTAATCTTTAGTTTTACTTGAAGGGAAGTGCTTGTAAAATATAACCTGAAACTTTCTCTTTTATTTTTATTTACTTATTTATTTAATTACTTATTTTTGCTTAAACAACAGAAATTTATTCTGTGACAATTCTGGAGGCTAGAAGTCCCAGATTTTCTCTTTTATTTTTATACTTAGAAACAAAAAAACATCTTGCAAAATGTAAGAATTTTAATCTTCATGGGTTAAAAGCAGTTTTATTTATCTTGTATAGCATTACACAGAATTAAATTTCAGTCTTTACTGTATCTTAACGTACAGTGTATTTTTTAAAATGTATTAATAGTATAGTTCTACTTTCATGTGTAGAGCTAGTTTAAGCTGTGGTTATTTTTGAGTACAAAATGGTTGAAATCTGCATATTATGATATTTAAAATATAATGAATTTTCAATAAGGGAGAATAAATTTTTATTTAAAATCATTTATTTGTAACTAGCCACTCTAAAAGTGGCAAAATATTTTTTAAAACTCTAAACAGTTTAGTAAGATTTTATATTACTGTGGAAAAGTTGGAAAATGTTGGGCTACCTTCATTTATAAAGCATTGTCGAAAAATCACCTCCTTAATGTTATACTTCTGCCACCTAGTGGTAAACTTTGTTGTAAGAACAAAGATCAGTTGACAGAATCCCTAAAATCGTTAATTTGGTTTAAACATGCAGTATGGCATTTATACTTGTCCACAGTGCTCTCTGAACATTATAAAGGTACGGGCACAGGAACTTAGCATTACTGCTGGTTTTCCTGCCGAGCCACGCAGGAATGCCTTTGGCTGAATTGGGTCACTGGTAAAGGGATCTTTATAAGTTCAGTAATTCGTGATAGTGTTGAAATATGCCGTAGGTAGTGATTTTCATCCTTCTTATCCCATGGCACACATAAACTAATTACTAAAATTTTGGGGCACACCAAAAAATGTTACATTTTTTGTTGATCTAACCAAAAAAATAGGTATAATTTTGATTCATTCACACCAGACGGCTCTTGTGTTGGCTGTTGTCATTTTTTTATTTGACAGTCTAAGGGAAAAGAGGTCAGTGCCCTTGACTAAACAGTCAGGTATGGCATGTTTTAAAAACTCTTTTGGCATACTGGTTGAAAATCGCTGCCATAGATGAAGCTCTTTTAAATGATGAGAATCCATTGTAACTCCTTCGCAGGGAGCTTTAGTCTTTTGGTAAAGTTTCTAGTTTGGCTGGGATCTTGGTTCCCTAATATCGGGCAAACTGTTGAGCTTCTGTTGGCCTCAGTCTTCTCAAGGGTAGAATGTGGAATAGCTTTATCTGCCTTGGAGTTTTTAAGAACTAAGGAAACTATGCATAATAAACATTTAGCCTTGAGTTTAACACTGGCAGTCACTCGATGATTACTATCAGTTTAGATGATTTTTCCATTCTAGGTTGACCCAACTGCTTACGATATGGGCCAGTTAAGGTCAATTTTTCCAAAACTGGCTTTTAACATGCCACTGTATAATGCAGCCTCAGGGGGACTGTGACATTCTTCAGTTAGTTTGACTTCACATTAATTTCTTTCAAATGCATGAGTTAGGTTTTGCCATAACCTAACGTTTATGATATTTTAATAATGCACCAAACTAAATTTGTTAAGCACCTACCAGGTATAAGACACTGAGTTAGGTGTAGCTCTATTAGGAAGAGTAGGAGATGCCAAGGAGATTATAGATGAGCTAAGATGTATCTAAATCAGTAGACCTATGCAGAATGGATTAAATCCCACAAAAGAGGTAAAACCATAATGCTCTAGGATTTCAGAAGAGTTGTAGTTTTTACTCATGTGCCAAATTAAGGAAGGTTTAGAAAGGGTGATCAAATCTGATTTGAAGCAGGTGGGATTTCTGCAGGTAGTTATGGAGAGAACAGTGGGACATTTCAGCTGTTAGCTGTACAGAGATTTTTTGTGTGATTTGAGAGAATAGGAAGTAATGTAACTTGGTTTGGTGTAGGGCAATGATTCAAGTTAGGATAAACTCATTAGGTCCAGATCAGAGACATTCTGAAATTCCAGAGTAAAGAATCTGTACATTACTTGGTGAGCATGGAGGAATCAAGGATATTTTTGAACAGAGAAGGAGCCAGGCTCAGAACTGTGTTTTGGAGGAATTAGTCCACCACTGGTAAAGAAGAGAATTGGAAAGAAGGGTGACCAGAGGGAAAGCTCTCAGGAATGTATTGCCAATAAAAGCTCAGAGGTAATACGGCTCTGAAATAGAATATATAGGAAGGAACAGGAGTGAATGAAACGACACATAGTAAATAATAACTAATTCCTCTAAAACATAGTTCTGAGCCTGGCTCTTCTTCATTTATTACCTAGCTACTGTTTGCCAGCCATAGGGACCAGAAAGAGTTTTTTAAAACGCTTTCTTACTCTCTCGGGTTCACAGTCTAATTGGTAGGCTGGAATGTGTACAGGTAATTATGATACCACGTGATGAGTTTTTAATGAGGAGTGTACAAAGTAGCACAGAAGCTCCAAAGGCAGAATTATTAACTCTGGGTGAAGAATGGCATAATTGGGGAAGGACATTGAGTGGGGTCTCAAAGATTATGATGGGGGATGCAGGGGGCATCAGTTGAAGAGGGACATGGCTGTCCAGGCTACCTGTAACAGCCTGGAGGAGGAGGCAGGCACTAGACAGGAAGGCAGTCAGCCAGCAAGGTTGTCTAAGGTGCAGTAAGATGCCTACCTACGGTGTTGGGTTGCTGTGAAGATTTAACAAGGTGATGCGTGTAGAATACTTAGCACTGAACTTTGCAAATGAGAAGTGTCCACAGAGAGGCTAATCTGTTGTTCTGAGGGAACTGCAAATTGCTCACCATAACTTTTGTACAGGGTGGGTGGGTGGAGAAGTGAGAGATAAGATTGGACAGATAGGTCTGTTCATAATTAGGAAGGTCCTTGCTTGGACCTGTGGAGTTTGGACTTTACCCTGCAGGCAGTAGAAACCCCAAGAGGTGTCTAACGTGGAATCGCAGAGGGGGACCAGCTACGCAAACAGGATTGGGAGGGGGTGGCCCTGGAGAGAGACAGTGCTGCTCCGTAGTCTAGTTCAGAGGTGATGCGAGCTGTTCTAAGGCCAAGGAAATGGAGAGGAGGGGATGATTCCAAAATGATTTTGCAGTTTATATTTTTAACTAGCATTTGAATGTTTTGGGGGAGAGAGAAGTCAACAATGTCAGGGCAATTGGAAGACAGCATTGTGTTGGGATCAATAGTCAAACAAGCTACAAAACCAATGGATTAGAACTGAATTGGGGTTATTATCCTAGCCTGCTAATGTGATGGCACTTTGTGGGGAATCACTTTCCTTTTCTGAGCCTCAATTTACTTAACTCTGAAATTCAGGGTTTTATCATTTTCTTCCTCAGGGATTTGTAGCTTCACAATTGTTGGAAGCCATCGGACTGCACAGTCTTATAAAGTTAAAATGATGTGAGTGCTTGACTAGGACATTTCAGTTCTGTAGAATACAGATTGCCATTACCATGGGGTGTTACTACGCAGGGAGTGACTTGCTGTGGCCAGGTGCTCATGGTGTTCTCCAGTCTGACATGGTGATTTTAGCTTCCCCTCTGCTGCACTGGCTCTCATCCCAGCCTGGGAAAGAACAAGGAAGGGAATTCTGTGGCAGCACAAGGTACAGTGTCACGAAAATAAAGCCTCCTTCCCACTTCGAGTACCAGAACCGTTCAGTAGGCGAGCAGGGGTAAATGAAGCCTGTTTTCCATGTAAATTACAAATTGTGGAGTTTTATGATGATGATGGGTACTTCACATGTAATGATAGCTCTGAGGTGCTGTTTCTGTTTGATTTAATCAGAAGACAGATACATTGCATAATTTTGACTCTTTGTAGGTTACTTAGACGTTACTCTTTGGGTTACAAGAATAGCTAGTTGGGAGATTCAAACAATTCTCATGGAGGTTAGAAATTATCCACAGCTGTTTCACAGAGCCATTCTTTGAACCAGAAAGATGGGGTTGCATATATAGATGTAAATGTAGTGACTCTGGAAAGTCTGCCCAAGATTTTTTTAGGAGTTTTATTTAGGTATCATTTGAATAAGAACATTCACCCACTGTAAGATACAGTTTGATGATTTTTAGGAAATTTGTAGAGTTGTGTAGCTACCACCAGTCAAGCATAGAACA